TCTCTCTCTCTTTCTCTCTCTCTATCTCTCTCTCTCTCTCTCTTTTGTGATTTCATTAGAAAATATTTGGTTTAAACAGATTAATTATGCTGTTTTGTCCTGAATGTTCTCCGTGAAGTTCGCTGGAGGTGATTTAAATGTGATCGCTGAACCACACTTATTATGTTCTTGTCTGCTCTGATTATTTTTCCATGCAGTTGCCCCTGTGATAATTTTGTTTAAATGAAAACTGAACACGTACGTTTTTATTTACATATAAATAGGGAAAGTGAGATCTGATAACAAGTGGTCACTCGAGGCGCTTGTTGAGGCGCAATCATATGCCAGGTGTGAACCAACCTACTCACAGCTTTCGACTTGTGATTATAATGCCAGGGCTGAACAGGGTCTTTAAGTCTTATAAGAATTTGATTTCTTGGGCATCAAGGCTGTAACCAAGTCCTACTAGTTCTTTGATTTAGTTGGAGCGCAGTGAATTAGCATGAGGTCATGGTTTATTTCTAGAAAGCGATGATGTCATGCTCTGAAAGTGGACACTAGGAGAAAATGCTTGGGTCAATAATTTATCTGAAAGCACTTTGCTCCGGCTGTCTCCCTCCTTTCTATTTTGATTCACTCCGTCTCCCCCCCCCTCTCTTCTGTGTCTTTGTCTCCCTATGCCTCCTTCACTCTTTGTCTCCCCGGCTACACGTCACATCATACTTTTCCCCCTCCACTTTGGCTGTCGCTAACTATCTTCCTCTCCCACCCTTCAGATCTCCATGTGGAGGGGTTGTTCCGTGTGCCAGGCCACAGCCTCAGGCAGGCCGCCCTGAGGGAGATGCTGAACGCGGGGGCAGATATAGATCTAGAGACAGGCGACTTCCACCCCAATGATGCGGCCACACTGCTCAAAGCCTACCTGGGGGAGCTGCCGGAGCCCCTGCTCACACACAGACACTATCAGGCTCACTTGAAGATCGCAGGTGTGTGTTAACTCATGAACAGACCCTTATTATGTCTCAAGATAGCATCATCCTGATCAATTTAAAGACAAGAAATAAATGAAAAGTTCCCCACTTGCTCCCTTTGCAATAATCCTCTTATGTTCTGTGTCCAGAGCTGACTCGCTTTGATGATAAGGGGGATAAGACGAATGAGCCGGACAAGGAACGTCAGATTGAGGCATTTCAGCTTCTGTTCATGCTGCTCCCACCAGCCAACCGCAGCCTGTTGAAGCTGCTGCTGGACCTGCTCTACCACACCGCCCGCAATCAGCACATCAACAAGATGTCTGCTATCAATCTAGCCACTATGTTCGCTCCACACATCATCTGGCCCAAAAATGTAAGGGCCATTTTGATCCATCGACCTTCTGATAACGATATAACTGTCCACGCTATGTTTGCTATCCAGTAAACTTTGAATATTTGTATGAATTATGTTGTCATGTTTTTTGTTTGTGTTGCAGGTGATGGCAAGTGATCTTCAGGGAAAAATTGAGCAACTGAATAAAGGGATTGCGTTCCTTATCAGGCATTCACAAAAGCTCTTTAAGGTAAGCAGCTTTATTTCCCCTGCAGTTGACTTCTTATTCTTTACAAATATATATATGTGTTGTTGCTTCTCTCTGTATGATAGGAACAACAACATGATCATGATTGTTTGTATTCTGTGCTGCAGAAGCTGTTCTCATCAAAACAAATCCGTGCAGGTCTTTTTTATTTAGATATCATTAGAATAATACATATGATAAATCACAGCTTGGAGGTTGGGATGTTTTCTTTCTTACTTTATAATGTGTTGCTTATAATTAACCTTTCCTGTCAAGTGATGTTGTTGCCATGGTTGCATTAAATGCAAAGGGGGTAAAGAAGAAGAACAATATTGAATTTACATGAGAAACAAATATCAGTAAAGGTTATTTAGTTTCCAAAGTGTCACATAATCAGCAGCCTTTCAAAACCCAAAGCTGTGTCATTGTATTTATTTATATTGAATGCCTGCTTTATTGCCAATGTTCCACCCGGACGCCATCGTTTAGGTTGAGTGAGGTCATACATTTCTAAATACCCTCCACGTGGATCGTATGGTAGAATAATTATTCACAATTAGCTCTCAAGAGGATTTATTTTACATTTACTTTCATTGAAGGCACCTACATACATCAAAGAATATACCCGCTTGTACTTCACCGGATCAAATACTCTTCAGTCAAGGGTGAGTGTTTTTTTCCCTTAGTCTTCTCTTCTTTTTCTAAGTTCTAAGAAGCATGTGGTGTAGAACCACATTATATTTATCTCTAAAGCTCTTTTCAAAGCTTTCACGACATTGTTTCCCATTTGCTCACTTATGAATCTAGTAATGTCACTGTCTGGTTAATTTAGGGTACATCCTGTCCAAATACAGAACCTTGTGAGACTCATCTGCTAATGCGCACCTAATAGAAGGATTTTCAAAGGACACTGAAAGAAAACCCCTCAATGCTGTCAGCCTTTTAAGGTTTCTTGTTTCTTGCTCACATGTTTTGTACTGTGTGTGACATAGCTCGTTATATTTGATTATGGTCAGGTCCTTTTGAAAAGCAGTAGATATCGAGTCTCGTCACATGTTATCTCCCACATTTCTAGGACGACTCGACACTCTGTTCTGCGAGTAAACAGGAGCTCATACCTTTGGTGACAGCTGCCTCCCCTTCTCCCTCCGTGAGGACCATCAGAGGGGAGGTCAGCAGTTCCACTTCCCTAAAGTCCCCTGAGAGAGCGAGTTACACCGAGTCTGCCCTCAGAGAGCTGTACCAGCAGGTCAGCACCATGCCCGAGTCTGCCAAAAAGAAGAAACTAATCAGACAGGTACAGTAAAGGTCCCCACACCTATTGCAAGGCGAGAGGGCACACAGACACTATTTTCAACCCTGCACCTATTATGTGTTGTATTTTGTTTTTAGTTTGACAAGCAGCCTTTGCTGACCCCTTCGTCTGACTCTCGGACGCCATTCAGCCGGAAACATTGGCGCTCACGCTCGCTGGGAGGAATGATCAAGGTTTGTTTACAGTAGTCCTGCGCACATTATTATGTTTTTCAGCCTTCCTTCCATTATGTTCAGATTCTAAGGAAATGTTCTTGATGCTTACATACCTAACAACAAGGTTCAAGGCTTTTATTGGTCATACGTACATAGCTACAATGTAGTTATGACGATGAAAATCTTAGGTCACAGGCTCCTCCAACAGTGCAACACAATAAAAAAGAAAAAATAGTGCAAGTAAATACAAAAAGAAAAATAGTGAAATAGTGCAATACGAGTCTACAAGTGATTGGATATGATATATTAGATAAATAATGTCTAAGTTGCAGCCTGATTAATGTTATGGATGGTGGCCAGTGATCTACTGTAGCTCCCAAGGCCAGGCTTAAAAGTATTCTGATTTAAAGGTTTATGATAAAGAAAATGCATTTGACATGTTCTTGTTGCAATTTGAGGAAAAACAAACGAAAAATAGGTGTTTTTGTTTTCAATAGAAAAGTATGTTTAATACAACCCTGCGGATCTCATAGTAATGCCTTGTTGTTTATGAAACAGAGGAAGGTGTTGGGAAGCCAGATATTAAGAGAGAAAGAAAACAGCAGACTGCAGAGTCCTCCACCCAGTGGGCAGTTGATGGCAAAGGAAGAGAAAACACCAGCTGTGGAGGAGTGAGTATTGTTACAACTCGAACACAGGATTTTTAATCATTCTAATGTTGTGGTCCTGTAGGCTACCTGCTTTCAGATGTTTCCTCACATAACAGGAGATCATCACATTAATGTCAGGATGACTGACAGGCTCAATAAATAGTTTGGAAACTGTGATATTGTATTTAATATTCCCCTATGATGGAGGGCATTTACGGAAATACACAAAAGTAGCAATTTCCTTTTTATTTAAACCAAACTAATCAAAATGTCACATTTAAATTGTGGGACAGCATGATTCTCTCCTAAAAGTGTCATCGACTATGACAAGTAGTTTTCCTCCTGCCTGTGCTGAAGCAGCTTCCTGTCTGTGGTTCACCACAGGCCGGCCTGGCCTCTCTTTGACTCAACAGTGCTTACATTGCTAATGATGCCTGATGTACTCTGCTGAAAGGATTAAAATAACCTAACCTTTTTTTTTTTTCTTCTCATCTTGTTTAGGATTAGTCAGCTCTAAAAGAATGCGTTCTACAAAGAAACCTTCGGTCAGGCTGTTATGTAAAGGGTATTAAAGGATCTTCTCGAGGCGTCGACACAAACTAAACAGTGTAAGGCACTGAGCAGCTTTGTTTTGACACCATGTTTGGATCTGTACTCTGCTTTTTCTTTCTCAAGAAGTAAGATGTCTTAAAGGTTCTTAAGATAGCCAATTCTTGCAGTTTAGTAAGGTTTACTGAAACTGAAAGCCTAAAAAGAGTTCAATCAGATGATCCATTTATTTTAAGTCAATGCAGTTGACGTGTTTTCTTACGCAGTGGTGGTCCGTCTTCATTTCTTTACATATTTTTAATGACATTTTTAGCAGGAAGCAAATGATCTGATTTAACCAGTGAATTTGTGGGTTTTCAACTTTGTCATCTGGAACGTGTTTATTTAATTTGCAAACCAAATTGTATTTATTTCGTATTGCTCATATGGCTGTTTTATTTCCTGGATTCCAAAGCATCAGATGTTTTGATAAGATGTGATACGCAGGCTCTTTCTATTTAAATGTGACATTTTTCTTTGTAAGCATAACATACCTTAATTGGACTGACACAGTCAAAGCAGACCCTTCAAGACTTTTTTTTAGAAAAGTGTGAATTCTGAGTGCCTTAAAGTGAATATGTCTTAAGAAACTGTATAATGCAATGTTTTTTTTTTACATTCCTAATTGCTTTGGTAGTGTGCTGAAATGTCTATAAATGTCTATGTCTATCTAATTCAAGCATCATATAACAAGAGAAAGACCAAAGGACCAGCTTGTGTAGATTAAATACATTTAATAAATTAGAGTTTGTCTTTGTTTCCATTAGCTCAATTCCTGGGTGTCAAGCTGTGAGTCTTTAAACTACTGCTACTTTAAAATACTTCTTGGTCTTGCTTTTATATTTAAGTTGTCTTATGCCAGTGTTGACTCTTATGCAACATCGTATACAGTTTTATACATTTCTATGCATTTGTGCAGCATTTTTTCTTTTTACTTTTTTAGATTTGTCTATATTTATCTTTTATTTTGAAAAAGTTGAGTGCAAATGAAGGTTTGTTGTTTGCCTTCAAGGGTGGTGGTTAAAGCAGGTGCTTTCTCTCAGAGTTTGAGCCAATGCCACTTTTAAAGCCTGCTTGTTGTCTTTTAACTCTTTCAGTAGCAGTTTTCAGGTCAATGGTCACTCTGCCAAGCTGTTACAATTCAACTATAATGTGATAATTGCCAACACTCTACTTTCATTGGCCATGTAAACTGATGATTGTAATGCTACTGTGTGTGAAGCTATGCAACTTACTGTAATTAAAAGACATCAAGCGGAGTTCTGTTGGTGTCTTTTCATTTGACATGATATACTGTGTGCTTGAAGTAATGATGACCCTTTTTTCCATATTCTTCCTTAATTGGTGTTAAAAGGAATTTGAGTGACGCTCCCCTCTGCAACTGTTTTTCTTGCAGCCACAAGGTGATGCTGTTTAGTTGCAAATAGTTATTCAGCCAGAGCACATTTGGTTCATCCATGGAGTGTATGACGTGCTTTGATTTGTTCGTGAAGTAGAGACAACAGTTAAAGACGGGTCAATATGAGAGAAATCTGCAAAACACCATAAGTAAGTTCATAAACATTCAATACTTAAACAAAAAAGACTAATTCTTAATTAATGTAAATGAAATGCATCCCATTAGCCACTCTGAAATAAAACTTATTGAAAATACATGTCGCTTTACATTTTTCTTACCCCTTTCTTCAACTTCTTCCAACTACAATAGTACATGTCCCGATGTCAAACAGCCAGAAAGTAGTCAACAAGTTGTGTGTTCATGTTTAGGCTTAAAAGTGTCCATTGAAGCAAATAAGAAACTGGAAGAAAATGAAAATTCAAACAAAACAAATATGACATAAAAGTTTACATGTTGCTAAAGTTTACAGGTTTGTGAAATAAAATATAAATCAGTTTGAAGCTAAATATGACCCCCACTAATAAGTACTCAAAAGGCCACTCAAGGAATCATCTGTTACTCAAAATCATGCTGGATTTGTCCATGAAATGGACATATTTTACGGAGTTTGAGAGAGAGTGGGTGGATGTCAAGAGTGGAGGCTGCCCTCTACAATAGGAGGAATGTCTCAGTGTGTCATTATGGTGTCCATGTCAATGCATGTTTGGTATTGTAAGTATATGTTGTAAACATCTGTGAGAATGGGCCTGCTTTTTCTCATGTTCTGTAAATATACATCAGACAGCTTCCATGATAGGAATAGCATTGTTTTACAGCCAAAACTCTGGAGGGGCTTTATTTAGCATTCCTACTCCAAAATGAGAATGATGACTGTAAAATGAGTCCGACGTACTGTAATCAACTTTACATTATCTGGTGTGCAACAAAACCCACAAGCACTTATGATGAGTAGATGATTTTGCTAGTGTTTGCAACGAAATGCCTTTCAGAGGGAGCTCATTCTCTAGAACTACAGATAGAGCAAGGAAGCACTTTTAAGGTTTAAATATTCTTTGTAGATTCCAGCATAATTTTGTATTTTCTTTGTGTCAAAAATGGATGGTTGAGGAAACATTCTTTCATTTTGTCTGAGGCACAGCTCTTCTGAGGGTGAAATAGAAATGACTTGGGTTTGAACCATGCTGTGGAACTTTCTGGATGCTACATTTGGTTTCTCTTTGTTTTTTTTTTCTCTCTATTAAGCACATTTGGTTTTGTAAATCACACATGTAGGAACTAAAAACATAATTATTTTGTTTAGGTACGAGCAGCTGCCAACTCTGTCTTGTTTCTTTGATTTCTAATTTAGGATTCCAACTGTTGAAAAATAACTTTTTCAACTGGCTTCAGCACTACTGTGAACTTTAAAATTGGGAGCCGTTTCACATTAATTGCAGTTATTTCCTCATCAGAGTCAATTGTTGGTGAGCTTGTTTGTTTTTGCAAACTCTTCCAATCCCCCAGATGAATTGCAAATTGCTGTCATGTCCTCCCACGGCTTTGAAGGCAGGAGAGAATTCACGTTGTGTGTTTGCGTATATTCCAATCACGACTGTGAGAGTGAAGGGACGTTACCACCACCCCCCATTACCACTAAACACCACTGTGCCCTTTTTAATTAGCCATTCATAGGAGAAAGATCTACATTGCACTGACACTTTTACGGGGACAGATGGAGTATTTTTTCAGACGAGGGTATCTGTGTGTACACCTACACCTACACACACACACACACACACACACACACACACACACACACACACACACACACACACACACACACACCTCAGCACATGTACTTGTTTCCAGTTGGTCAAGAAACAAAGCAGACAGACACATGTGCACACATTTTTCTGCTTGCTTATCCCCTCTGGGCCTTTGTTGGTTAAAGGGAAAGAGTTCTTGGGTCTTTGGGACTGTTCTGATGTTTATGTTGGGAGGGATCCACCCTGCAGAGACCTGGTGGCTTAGTTTTAGTTAAACACCAACTTTTAGTTTAGTTTGAGCTTTTTTATAACTGTTTTTTTAACAAGCAAAAACTAAGGAGCAAAAACTGCTAAAAAGTAGCAGTAATTCCGAAAAATAATCATATTGACTCATTGACAAAACCAACACAACTCTACATGAGTGCATAATGAATCATTCTTGATTAATGCTGAATTTGTACTAAAGGACACCAAACCAATAATGCATCATTGACTCTTTTGTTGCTTGTGCAATCCCGTACAAGAGGGGATGTAAAAGTAACTAATGTTTATGGATAAATAGAAAGCGGTCTAAGTATTTTGTATTGATTTTATGCCGTTTAGCAGTTGATCCTGCGTTAATCTAGCAGCCTCAATACGTAGGTGGTGAGTAATGCAGATACACAAATATCCAGGATCTAATCAATCTAATCATCAACAAGACATGTTGTTGCTCGGTAACCTATCTCAATTTCCTGCACTTTATTTTATTGTGTCACCATTTGTTTTATTGTGTGGATAACTATGAACAATGCTCTCTGGATTCAACCCACTAAAACCAGAGGGCCATTTCCTACCCATTTCCTCACAGTGATTTGCAATTCAAACAGCTACAAATCAATATGGATTTGGAAAAAGTTTTGTGAAAGCTACAATTACACTGTCAACAGAGGCTGGACTCTAAAATATAGTGTTTTAACTAGATGTCCAACTTTTGAAAATAATATTTATATGCTTATCATTTAGTTTTCCCTCCTCAACACAGTCCAGTTTATGTCTGTATGCTTTGAGTCCAGTGAAATGCATGATCCTGGAATTAAGAGGGGGATGTTTAGCCAGTTACTGCCATGAATCCAAAGGGCAGAGTGGTTTGGTTATGAGAGTAGCAAGCTTGTCTTTTAATGTATTAGGAAATCATTTCTGTTGCTGTTCATGCTTAAAATAAAGTGTTGGCTTTGTATGGCTGTGGTCTGCCTTCCAACAGATCATTAATATCTGTGTCTGAGTGCGTTTACTTTTCATACCAGGTCCTTCCTGCAGCTTCTGTGTGTGTGGGGCCACTCGATCTCAACGTTAGACCCACATTTACGGATTGTTTGGTCCGTATGTTTGCCTCCAAGGATGGAGGTGTTGATTTCCTCTTTTTCCCAGTGGATTCGCTTTCGCTACATGTATTCAGACACACACACACACACACACGCACAAACACACACACACACTGAAACAGCCCAATCTCCCCACAGAATCTCCCTTCGGGCAGGGGTTATGCAGTGTCATGCAGGTTAGGTCTCTCTCTAGGGGTTTGCCTGGAGGCCAACCTGAGAGAAAAGGATTGGAGTGAGTAAAAAAAAAATAATACAAATACTTGAAGTAGATCTGTAATGTGAATAGAATCAAGGGAAAGAAAGGGATCTGGAGAATGAGAGTGAGTTCAGGCAGGGTTCTGGGGTGGGGGGGGGTGTGTTGTGTGAGGAGGGAGAGAAGTGGGGGTGGAGAGGAGGGGTAGGGGTGGAGTCGGGGGGCTCTGCTATTTGTAGATCCTTGTGATGGATGACTGGTGTGTGTGTGAGTGTGTGTAAGAGAGAGAGAGAGAGAGANAAAACCAAACTACTCCTCCGCACTCTCAGAACTTCCCAACAACACAACCATGCAGATAATCACACAATAGCTAACATACTATGATCTGATATAAAATACGATGACGGTAAACCCAAACACCCCCCCCACCTTTCGCAAGTGGGAGAGCAGAAACGAAGGAAAGGAAGCCTAAAGGGGAGCGAAAAAAAAAACGAAAAAAGATAAGAAACGAAATAGGTGAAGCAGAGATATGAAAAGAGGTGAAAGAAAGAGATTAAGCCTGATAGCTAGAGCCACGGGTAATAAGACATAACTGGATATATGGGCTCAAAAGGAAAATGGGGGGTGATGGGGAGAGAAGGCCCGGAAAGGGGTCTTATATGTGGATATATATTATATAGAATAATACGAAAAAAAAAAAACAAAACAAAAGTGTTAGTATGTTAGACTACACAAGAAAACCCACTGGGGTCAAACAAAACAGGTTGATTTGATAGGGAGTAGTATATGCTTATCGTTTAATGTAATTAAATAAGTGTACGGTATCACAAGTGAGAGCGAGGGGATGAGCGGAACGGTTAACAACGCAAGACGGTGTTCACCCTTGTGTAAAAAAAATCACCGCCAGAGAGGTTGGAGGGAGGACAGGAGGGATAAGCGCCACACACAGGAAGAGGAGAGAGAAAGAAAACAGCAGAGAGGAAAGGGAAGGGGGAAAAGAGGGAGAGGATGATAGGATAAGAATACACTGCAGGGGAAGCAGATGAACCTGGCAAGAGAGGAAGGACCATTCTTATTAGATCTTTCTTTTCATGTGATGCTTGCGACGGGTAGCTGTATAAAAACCCTGAAACTCCCGTGAACATATTGCATGGGTGAACCATGCATGGCGCACACTCAGGAAGACAGAGAAAGGAAGGGAAATGTAAATAACTCCTAATTACCGACAGACAAAACTGGGAAGAGATAGCGCAATCATACCCTGATGAATGGAATGATGTTGTCTGTGCGACTGATGCTAGTCGGTTGCCATGCGGTCCTCCGACAGAGAGGGACCTTAGCACGTCGACAGTCATTCTATAAGCAGAGACTGAGTAGAAGATAAAGCGGCATTACACCATGTGTTGGCTGCAGGAGCTGCCTGCCAGGCACACAGTGCATGTTCACACGCACATGATACTGTTCGCAGTATTATTGAGCTTGATACATAAAAACAGTCACGAGGAAAGAAGAAATGCACACTCTTCGCCAGTCGGTAAGGCAGTATTAGAATAACAAATGTGAATAGTCTAATTACACTTATACAACAATACTATCTCTGGTACACTACAGTATTGACAAGCCAATCTATCTCAGATTCTGTAACATTCAATACTGTATATTGAATGGTAAGGAAGTCCAAAACAGTGGAATACTGAGACAGAGAGATGATTTATAGGTGTAATGATAGTGCACATTTTTATTCTAGATACTGCTACCCCCGAAGAGTTCTTTCTTCTTCCACTGAGAGCTACCGTTCCCTAAGCATCAAGCGATCAACAAACAGAAAACACAGCATCCCTCCAACACAAACACAGAGGAGGCAGGCTCCGGCATCAACACCATAGTTGAAGCGCTCTTTCTTTCTACACTCAAAGCCATATAAAAACGTAATCCCTTGTGTGTGCCTGCCATCCACACATTTAGCGCACAGAGATGTAATTATAGCGCTATTCTGCCAGTTGTTTGTGTCTAATTAGAGTTATTTACATTTTCCCTCTTTTTCTCTGTCTTCTGAGTGTGCGCCTATGCATGTGTGTCACCCAGGCAATATTTCAGCGTGAGTGTTCAGGGTTTGTGTATATCAGCGTACCCGTCGTCCAAGCATTCACATGAAATGAAAGATCGTAAAGAAGAATGGCCTTCTCTTTTTGCCAGGGTTTCATCTGCTCCTGCAGGTACCTACCACACCTCCCCTCCCCTCCCCCTCCCCCTCCTCCTCCTCCTCCTCCTCTCTCCTCCTCACTCCATACTTCCTGGGTGTGATACACAAAGGGAACACCTCTCTTTAACCGTCCTCTCACCCCCACCACGTGATACCACACGTAAGACATTAACGAAAGCAACACCCCTTCAAACAAGCCTGTGTTGTTGCCGCCATTTGTTTGTGGCAGCAACAAGCAACACGGTAATCAAAAACCACAAAATACCCCTTCGCCTCTTCCTCCAACCCCCCATCCTGAGCCCAAACCAGATGCTATTACCCGGGGCCAGCTATCAGGCTAACTGCTCTTCACTCCTCCAACTCTGCTCACCTATCGCTCTCTTTTTCTTTTTTTTTCTGCGTCCCTCAGTCCTTCCTTCCTCCTGCTCTCCCACTGCGAAAGACACTAATTACAGACATAGATGAGTAGATTACAGATCTGAAGTGCAGTGGAAGTGGGATGAGGAGAAGTCAGGGGTGGTGGGCTGGGGGCAACAGGTCGTTAACAGTGATGAATGCAACTCTATTTTCACTGTTATTGTTCACTGATGTTCTTCGGAGCACCTCTCACCTCCCGGCCGCTGTTCCCATGCCTTCTCGACGACGCCATCCATCACAGGCAGCTTTAACTAACTCTAACTATCTCTAATCATCTCCAATCAATTCCAATTATCTCTCCTCTGCCCCTCATGCATCAGTGTCGCTGGTATCTCTCCGGCATGGGAAGGGAAGCAGGAGTGTGGATAAAGAGATAGGCTTTTAGAACAGAAAGCAGGAAACGTAACTGAAATTAAAATTAAATGAAATATATGTGCACTATCTCCTTTTCTATGAAACAAGATGCACATTTTCAAACTTCTTAGGTTTGAGCAACCTTGCTATTAAAAATGATGTAACATTTGTTCATTTTGTATATTAGTAGGTTTTGTTAGCCATTTAACATCTGTGTTATAGCAAGACCACTCTTTATTTTCCCTTTGTAGTGGAACCTCATTACCCAATTAGCTTAATGACTGCATGGAAGTGGAGTGTTTAAAAACTCCCCACAAATCAACAGTCTTCTACTCATTAAACAACAGCCTTTTATTAACCCAGCTAGCTTCTTCCTCAACAGTTTAATGAGAGCAACCATCTCATCTGCTATCCCCCCCCTCTTCCATCCCCTACGTCCTTCTTTCTGTTTGTCCTCTCAGCGGGACGTCTAAGACAAATAGCCACTTTGTTATACAAAGCTTTTCCCCAAAGCCTCTCTCCAGAAGGAGCAAAATGAGAGGGAAAGAGGGGAGTCTGAGAGACGGAGGGAAAGAGTGTTAAAAAGTATAGAAAAAAAGGAAAGGGGCAATTAATCCTGCATCCAGGAGAAGAGAAACCATCTGGGTTAGCGCTCCACCTGAGGGCAGCAGGCTTTCACATTAACCTCTCTTGTTAGGATCATAAAGACAGACCCTAACAAGCCCCCGTGAGCACTTTGAGCAAGTGAAAAGAGTCACACACACACAAATACATAACGCAACCAAGACCCTGTTTCTCCTTCTATCTATGTCTCTATCTCTTTTTCTCTGGTATCCTCAGAAAAACACACACACACGAAAAAGCGCAAAAGTCTTCCTCTGGGAGCTGTGAACCTTTTAAGTCCATTAAAAGCTGCTGGCGGGAGCGAGACAAGGCTGTAACCTAACCGCATCAGACTGGAACCAGAACCCACCGTGTGGCCCAGACACGCCGCTCAGGAGTTAAGAAACGCATTAGGAAAAACCTTTGTCTTCTACCGCTGTTCCTGATCCCCAGTTACTGGACCTAATTTTTAACAAGCACTAGAAGTCTTTCATGAAGTAACAGCTGTCAATCAAACACCAGCACCATAAAGATGGCATTATTTTAAATCCATGGCCCAGGATTGCACATTTGTTTTAACTGCTAAAGAATGTAAGGCACCTCCACACTTAAAAAGCTTTAAGGCCCATTACGGTTCTCTTTTATCCAGCCAAGGATAGAGAACAAATGAGTGTATACAGAGACACATAGCGAATCGATTAAGCAATGTTAAACAAAGTCTCCAGAATGTGGCAGGAAAAGCCAGCGCTAGGTTTAGAATAATGAGCGTGAAGTTAGATTGGATGAAACAGGGGAGCTGTGTTAGTACAATCCTCTGGTTGTTGGCAGAGCCCGCCGCTACATATGGACTAATCACACTTGTTCAAGGCCATCCGTTGGTCTGGAAGGCCTCGGTCTGCTCTGTGTCTATTCCAGCTAGACAGACAACCCAGTGCGGCTCAGTGTAAGCCACAAGCAGGCCAGCTTATCCCCAGAAGATGAGTCTTTGCCCTAAAGCCCTGCAGGTTGTTGTTGGCCTAATGGTAGATGAGGTGAGGCGATAGTTGCAAGGAAGTGACAGATAGATTCAAGATGGTGTTAAACATCAAAAGCAAGATAAACAGAGGCCGGGATCATGGGTTAGTTGTACCACTATGTGGATTGAAGGGAGGGAAATTATTTTTCCATGTCCCACTGTTTCATTATTCCCAGATGCTACAAGTAATCCGAACCGGAATAATGGAAGCTGGAATGATCAGCTAGCAAAGGGACACTGATTGTCTCAGAGAAATAAAAGAAATGGAGTCTTGCAGCAGAAGGGAATAAAAGTTTAGTATTACTGTGGGACTGTCTTACTGCATGGGGCACACCAGTGTCACAGTATGGGGGCGTGAGACAGTACAGGATTGGCTATAAAAAGTGGAAACTGAATGAAAACTGTGAAGACACATCTTATTCAAAATATGATTGAAGAATGTGATTCTACTGGCAGAGTGAGCTTTGGGGACTTCTCCTGTGACATAAAACGACCTCATTAAGGAACACAGACATCCTTTCACCCTCAAAGTCGAATGTGGCAGTCAGTTATAGTCCCAATGTCACACCAACTCCCTTTCAGCGGAGTCTCTCGCAGACAGACTCAGAGGAACTGCAGATGACTTGGCACAAAGGCCCAGCAATGTGCAAAGCACTGAGATTTCCGATCATCCAGCAGCTTTACAATGGAAATCACAGTGCACACTTCACAAACTTCACCTAATAAGTCTGAAAGTTAATGACATCTGATGGAATTCCAGAAAAGAGAAATTGAAGCTTTATTGTCCTTCAATTATATTTAGACCAGTCCGAATCAAAGCCAACATTCTTCCGACTTTTTGAAACCATGCTGTGCAGTATATTGTTGTAGCACATACGGTCTCCGGGCAATATCGGTGGCTTGCATAATATGGAAAAGACAAAGAGAGATGGCGTGTGTGTGTGCTTACAAATAACAAAATCAGTGTGCTCAAATGAAATAAAAAAACTGAATGTACTTACAGTCGAGACAGGGCAGGGTTCTTCTGAAACAGCAACTCAGGAAGCTGCTGCAGTTGATTACGGTTCAGCCGCCTGCGGCAGGGAAAACATATGATCAACCGGTGAATTTGTGTGTGTGTGTGTGTGTGTGTGTGTGTGTGTGTGTGTGTGTGTGTGTGTGTGTGTGTGTGTGTGTGTGTGTGTGTGTGTGTGTGTGTGTGTGTGTGTGTGTGTGTTTCTATGCATGCGTGCCCTTGTGTAGGCTGTGAATAATTTCTGCTAGCTGCCGGAGAATCGACTTAGCCACAGGCTATTGTGTTTCAGTGTGCTCTGAATGTCACATAAATATCCAACTGAAAGTTCAGGGGAATTAAACTTCTAGTCAGAGACACCGCCGTAAATGATCTCTGCACAGTTAAATTACGATGCTGCGCCGAGTAGAACTTGGTGCTTGGTTGACTTTCTCAGAGTAACGGAATTGCAGCATTTCCATTTAAACAGGCGAATTACATACACCAGTTATCTGAGCATGAACAGATTTGATCGTGGGAGAACTATCAAAAAAATATGTTTCTAAATAAAAAAATTGAGAAATGGATGCGACTATTCAAGCCAAAGGAAGCACTGACAGGAATTGTGGTTGGCAACGTCAAACAACTAACGTCCAGGACTCGCAGGCTTTATGCAAATACAACAATTAAGTCAATGAGAAACAGACTGTTGCTAATCTGTTGGAAACCACAACTCTCTTCTCCATGAATGGCCCATTGGAGGCACATGGGAGTGAATGCAGCGGCTGTGGCACTGAGAGCCTCAAATCTGAGAGGCAGGCCGCTGCCATTCCTTGAGACACATTCAGACAGATGTTGGGACCTGCGCCACTCACTGTATACACTGAGAAGGGTGCTTGGCCAGCTGAGGTGGAGATTTAGTGCCTAATGGGCATTAATGGTCTGCTGTACCTGCTGCTGGGTTAGTGGCTTTTAAACATTAGAGAAACTAGCCGCTTAATTTCCACATTGGTCTGGCAAACGGATATGTCTACCCAATGTTTGGGATCAGTTGAACTCGAAGGAGTAAGGGGAGGGGGGGCGAGCTGTACACGTCTGGAGTATGGTAATGTAAATTGTTAATGCGGGTGTCAGATCTGGGGAAAGTCTTTTATAAGTTAACCACTGTGTGTGCATGACGGCATGTGTCCTTAAAGTCATCTGCTGTGCAGGCTGCCATGCGGCTAGCACTATTGATTTGCTAATGAGCTGGTTGAGGTGTGGTCGGCTGTGTTTGTCTGTGTGTTTTCCCAGTCGGTTTACAAGCTGCTGAGGAGTCCTGGTGCTGTCCAGATGAGCCAGGGTCTGTGGTGGGGGAGGCCTCTTAAGCCCACATATCCCACTGAGGGCATTCCTGTCAGGCAAGGCTAATAAAAAAAATACTCCCAGCCTACGCGGTACCCTCTCAGCACCATCCGACCACAAAGGAATGACCAGGAAGTGCCTCAAACTTGATACACCATCCATGGTCAGTTCCTCCTGTTAGTCTCATCACACATTACTAATCCAAGTCCTGGATATACATCAGTATTAGGGCTTTGACATAAGCGGAGGAAAAAAAAGTGTTATTTCTGATCAGGCTTTCTACAGACAATGCTGGGTGGTACTCACAGTCTCTCCAGCTCTTTCATGTCATCAAAAGCTCCACGCTCGATCACAGTAATCTGATTCTCCATCAGCTGCCTGCAAAGAGGAGGGAAAGAGAGCCTTTAGAGACAATGTGATACAGTGTGGCTTCAGCTTTTTTTTTATGAGTCTGTAAAAGGTCACTCAGGCTTTAACAAAGTAAAGGGGGCTTTGGGTGGCGGGCTTTTTTGCAGCACGTATATTCAAACTGGATGCAGTGTATTTATCACACACACACGCACAGAGGAAAGTGGTGTGGACTGAGGGCACAGTGTGGAATCTTGGCACAAGAAGCAGGAATAGCAGCCAGGAAAGTTTCTAAGGTGGCTTAGAAAGTGTGGGCTCGGGCTCTGGTGTGGTCCACTGGGTGAAGGGGCTGGGTGGAGACGAGACGAAAAGGTAGGCAGGGGGTCAGAAAGTGCAAGAGGGGAAACTGAGGTGGTCTCCAGAGTTTTCACAATTGGCCAAACAAGGGAAAGTCAGCTGTGTGTGGATGTGTGCCTGTTGGAGAGTATCAAAGTCGCAGGCAGTACCTCAAAGCGATTAGTCACACACAAACAAACAAACTTACTGTACACACACACAAGCAGGGACACATCCTTTCCTCACCTACATTGCCAAAGCTAATGCACCCGAAAAAAAAAGGTTTGGATGGTTTTGGAAGTGTTACAATAACACAAGGCCAGGAAGGAGAGAAAAGCGTCCAGCAGCTTTAGAAGCAACAAGAGCTTTCCTTCATTACGTATACAACTGTTCTGTGTTGAAGGCAACCTCTCATGTCTCCTGTGACGCCGCGCTGCAACTCAGCAGTCTGGGCTTCCTCCCCATCGAATATAAATGCTAATCACTGCTCGGACTCTATAAACATCGAGAAAAGTGCAATTCACCTCCGATCTCTTTCTCATGAATTTAGATGGAAGGAAAAAATGGATCACTACTTTTGATTTGAGATCAACTTTTTTTTTTTATCGCACTCTTCCGCCCAATTGTTCCTCTATTGTTCCAAACACATATTAATGAAGTAGACGAGAAGTGCCAGACGAATGGCGCTAAATCAACTGTGTTGATTTTAGACTGACAGGATAGATGGCAGCTGACTGTAAAGATAAACTTCTGTTCCTTTTCGGCTCCTTCTGAGGGTTGCTAATGGGTCAGGGGTTAACCCTCTGTTAGTCTTTATGCTGTTGCCCAGTAGAGGTCACGCCCCGGTACACAGAGACAGAAATGTTTTCTCAGACATGCCATGCACCACCACCTAACCATGTAATCATACATCCTGTATATAGTTGGATGACATTTCAGAAAGTGAGCATATGTGGCCTGGAGGGAGTTATAGGCTTTACAGCAAAGAAGGGCTGTCTGAACCCTGAACCCCTGAAGGTGTTGTTTCCTTTTTTCTTGCTCGTGACAAGGTGCAGACATGAAGGCATTTAATCTCCACATGGAGGTAGAAGGTGGTGCGGGAAAGGGGACATGCATAGGAAGGCCTTAAGTGACAAGAACAGTTGGAACAGAAAGGCCAACTAAGGAGTGAAAACAGTCTGGCTTTGCTGTGTCGTAGGAATTATGTGCAGCTTGTGATACATTTAAAACATGTTCAGGTCCACAAAGCTTCCTCTCTGGCAGTGTTTTTAAACACTTAAAGCCCTACTCACAAGTATGTGTGTGCTCCTATGCACATATATAGTCACTTTTACAACTACTTTAATACCTAAAGTCACAAGTGCTGTTTCATTTCAACACAGAGGGAGTCAATGACTTTACCTGAATGTGTTAACTGTGTGGAGAGCCTATTTAGGACTGGCGCTTGTGTACACATTACATGTTGATGTGTGGGAACAGAGGGCAAGTGAGCGAATGTGCGTCTAAGGGACAATAAGTGCCACTACAACATACAGAATACAGTGTGACAGAAGTCCATTACTCCGCTGGCTGCAATCATTCAGTAGCTTAATGTACTCTGGAGTAGGACTCTCGACAGAACCATCTCCACTTCACTGGGTTTATGCTAATTTGAGCAGCAAGTCTGTACAATGTGTGAGCTGCAAGGTTAGATACAGCTCAGGTATGCATAAATAGATAAACTCATACATGGACATGCACCACAGATACACATACAAACATGAAGGCAAGTACTTACAGAACTCGGATGTACTTGAGTCCAGCGAAGTCACTCTTGGTGATGCGTGTGAGGTTATTCCCATTCAGCTCCCTGAACAGACAGACATGCAAACATATATGAATATTTCATTTTCCCTCCGAACCTGCAACACACATAACCAAACACTTCAGACACACACACACACACACACACACACACACACACACACACACACACACACACACACACACACACACACACACACACTGTGCTCCAAGTTGTTTACTATAGCATACTGAAAATGTCTTAAATGAAATTAAAATGGCTCTAGATGTGAAATGTAACATATAATGACGGGTTGAATCAGAAAGGTCGTGTTTGAGGGAAGTTCAAGCTCTACTGGGAGCTTTTAAGAAGTTCTATTAAAATGGAAGCCACATTTGAGCTGCCTGTTTGTCTTTCTATTCCAGCCCTCTCCCCCCATCGCCCACAAACCCGCTCTCTCTCTCTGTCCTTCTACTATTGGTGAGGATTAGCAGGAGCCAGCGGAGGGGATTTGGGTAGGGCCACAAGGCCAGAAAGCTAAGTGCTGGGGATATAATGGAAGCAGCCTCCCTGCTGAGAGCTGGCCATTGCTGCAAAGGAAGGGAGGGACAAAAAAGTCAAAAAGGAGAGGTTTCGAATTTACTGTTGGGTTCTTACAAGTTAACCATCAAGTGTTGTGTACGACTTTAATTGTAGCATGCTGAACTCGACTGTTGCACTCTCACTGGTGCAGTCCCCTCTGCTGATATAGGAGAGGTTTGTATTGTTCTGCCGTGCCATATAACAACTCAGTCGGAGAGGAAAAGGGAAAAGAGAGCAAGCAAAGCACGCAAAGATTTCGTTGTGCTACTGCACTGTCCACAGGATTCTAAGTCCACCCTAATCCCCCAACCCAAAACTGAAAAACTGGATCCAAATCTACGCCAAAAGCACCGGTCTCTCTCCCTGAGTCACTCTCTCCTTCTCTGGTCTAATGACCACTCCAGGGACTGTAGCGCAATGCAGTACGAAAGAGAGCGGTCATTATAGACAGATGGTGAGTGTGTGGGTGTGTGTGTGTGTCTGTGTGTCTGTGTGTCTGTGTGCGTGCATGCATGCATGAGTGTGTGTGTGTGTGTGTGTGTGTGTGTGTGTGTGTGTGTGTGTGTGTGTGTGTGTGTGTGTGTGTGTGTGTGTGTGTGTGTGTGTGTGTGTGTGTGTGTGTGTGTGTGTGTGTGTGTGTGTGTGTGTACACAGGTGCATCGACAGGCCAAACGACAGGGCCACGGGAAATAAATAATGAACTGGGCTTCATTAGCCCGGGCTCCGATACACACACATGTGGTGCTCATTACAGGTGCTTACGCAGATAGGCACACACACATCATACACCCACGCACATACTTCTGGATTCCCAATGTCTTATCTTCAGGGTGGTCATTGCTGATGACACCCGGAGGACAGTAAAAAGGAGAAAGATAGAAGAGGAGAAATTGGAGTAAGATGGTTAGAGTGCGGGGTGGCAGGGGGAATATGTGGAAAAATGTATCGCTCTTGAAAAAGTGAAACACCACTTTTTTTCTCTTCCAGCAATGAGGTTTTGCTTTATCCTGTAACAGGAGACCTGCAATAGCTTCTGCATGTACTCCAGGGTTTATTAATCTAATCTCTTATGCAGCCACATCTTAAAGTGTTTTGTTAGCTGAGATCTAGTAACTGACCTAAATGTATTATTCCTGGAAACGTATTTTCCTGTTGAAAATATTCATTTTAAAAAACACATTTGTCATGCACCTGTTCAACAATGCCATGACATTTAGGCAGTGCTCAAATGCCACCAGCAGCCTATGAGGTTTTAGCTAGTCAGGATCCACACTGTTTATGACATATCCTGACCTTTTCCATTGGCATTTTGCAACCGAAACCATGCAATGTTTTCAACTCCTTGTGCAGGTGATAATCAGGTCTTGAAAATTGCCCCTTGGATTGATGAGTTCTGTATGTTGGCATTACCTTCTAAAGTTACTCTTATACTGCTCTGTAAAAAGCATGTGTTGTCCAAAGCATGCATCTTGCATAAAACAGGAAACTCTTTCTAATAAAGTGGACCAATCTGTTGATATTTGGTGCCATGGAAGTATTCTGTCTCTGGAGAAATATTCCAATTTACTCCCTTATTTGTGACAATGGTCTTTGATGTAAAGTAACTTGGATTCACAACCATTTTTAAACCGGGAAGTCATTTCTGCATGAGCACGCACACACTGAAACTGAAGTTTTCCATGGATCAAGATAAATCTAGGTGAAGCAACAACTTAAATACAGAAAGATAAATTATTCTAAAAAGTCTGGAGTTTGGGGTAAACGGTGCTTGTCTTTCTGTAGAGTCCATGTCTAAATAAGGGCACTATATGCCAGAGTAATATATGATGTCAATGCCTCAAAGCTAAATCTGCTGTTTATTAGCTATAATATCAGTCACGGCTACTTTCTTTGTTTTACAATCAAAGGAGGCTAAGCAATGGCTTTTGGCACAGCAGCAAAGGCACGTTCAGTCCTTTCATTGACAGATGTTTTGTTGTACCAACTTAGTTTGGTTTTCCCATTACAGTACTATCATACCCAGTTAATACAGCAAGGGATTTGCACCCTTCAACTGCTTCAGTCAAATCCATCCCATCCTCTGGAAACTCTGCAAGGATTCCCTGTGCTGACACACTTCCTGGAGAGCCAGTGGATTTATGACATCACTATCTAATCCCTCTTCATCTTCCGAGCTGATTGATGCCTGGGAGTACTTCCTGGTGCACCTTCCCTCGGGTTGACACGCGGCAGCTATACTCCAACACTCCACATCTCTATAATTCAAAGGGGCTCAGGGCGCTGCTACAACGCTGAAAAACTCATTATGTTTATTTCTAGCAGCTGCTGGGGTCTCACGGCTGAGGGGGACCTGGTTTGTATTGAGCAACATTACATGAAATAAAAACCCAAGACGAGAGGGAGAATAAGCAAACAGACTGGCTCACTAAGGCCCTCGTACAGATGTAGTCTCACAAATAATGTACAAAAATCCACATGTGCAATGTTTCTTAAACACATACACAAAGACTATATACATATACAGTATCAAGGAGTGAACACAAGCACTCCTACTGGCATGTACACAAACAGTACCAGTGGGAAAGGCAATGTTGCTCTGTTGGGAGCTGGTGAGAGCAAAAGAAAATAATGACCACAAGACAAACTACTGTTGGCCGAACAGCTTTCCACCATGATAATCTATTTATGGAGAGCTGAAATGTGGAATATTACAGGTTAGCAAACAAGGCAATGTGATCTGTCAGAAAAATATGGGACCACTCTAAAGTCTCACACCTTTTAATCTGTCAATTGTAAGTGCTCTTTTAAATTGCTGCCACACTGTGGATTTGGATCATTCAAAAATATTATGCTGAAACTCTTCGCTTTACTTCTCAATACAGGGGAAAGACGTAAGTACAAACTTCAGTTCAATAATCCTATGCTTGCAGGCATAAAATAATTCACAATAAAAAACGTACTTCTCACAGGCTGTGACAAAAGGAGCCAGGTTAGCAAACATCCTTAGCAAGCTTACAACAGCCTTTTACAAGTTGAGAATAGCACTTGTTTTGTCAAACACTTAATTTGCTGTCCTAACACTCACACACACTCACTTACAGTTAAACTAGCAAGAACAAACTCGAGTAGCTACTTGATAATCCATTATCTAAAAGGTCAAACTTGGCGAGTGTTGCTATTTATAAGGTCAAAGTTCATTCAGACTGATAGATTCACAATGCATACAAGTAAGGATTTTGATGGGGAATCGAACACATCTTTCCCACTTTACACTGACTAATCAAGGTGTTTATATTTGAGCAGTGCAGTCATTCTGAATCGCTGATGTTAGCACCACAGGACCATTTGTCCTGAACAGCTTTAGCCTGGCAGGGAAGACAGAAGCCAGCTGATAGAGGATCGGTGGCACAGAGCTTTCCAAACTCCTCGCTGTGGAAAAAATCTGATGATCAGAAACCTGAGGTCATGTACAGACCGAGCGTAGATGCTCATTAACTACAGTCACACAGTGATGATGCTATTTGACCGGACCAGCAAGCGCTGTCCCTAATGAATGAACTGAGCAGGTTGAGAAGCTGCGGAAGAGTAAAGAATGTATTTCTCCGAACTCTGCGACATATGGACGTGACAGCCGTGAAGCACGCAGGAGGAAAGTAAGGGGGGGGGGGAAAGAGGCACTGAGAGACAGATAGAAGACAGAGCTGCTGTGACAATGTTGTTAGCTGCCTGAAAGCGACGGAGTGGAGCAGTGTGGTGGAGTGTTGCGTGTGGCAGTGAGGAGCTGACGGGCTGTCGGGGAAACTTCAGTGTAGCAACGAGGCCTGGTAGACTATGAAGTGAAAGTGACCTACATACTAGGTTAAGCAACAAGCTACAGCACCAGGCAATACCATCTGGGTTTACAACAACTTCATACACAAGATACCGAGGAAGTGAAAGAAAGAGAGATAGAGAAAGCCGACCACCACCACCAAAATAACACCCTTTAATGCAACTGGAACAATGCTGTCCGCACTAAGAGGTTAGATTTCTGTTCAACTTGAACGCCACATTTCCTCTACATTGAAATGTGGCTTTCAAACAGGCAGTTAAGTCCCTCCACTGTACATTTTTAGCTAGTGTGTGCGTCAGCAAGCATAAGTGTGTGTGTGCGCAAAGACGTCTAAGAGTGTTTTCCCAGCTCCTGTGCTCCTCGAGGGCCATTTACCGTTTTTATTCTGCTCAGTCAGGCCTCAAGAGCAGTTTTTCTGATAAGAAAGGTAAACACCAAGCAGATCCTACACGCATTGCACACAGACACAGACAAACTCAATAAACCACTTCTCCGTGCCTTGACCGGTGCAGGGTCCCCTGCATTTTGAAGAGCCTTCATCATGTTATGAACGGCTACAGGTAAAAGTCAAGGACTAAAACCCAAGCCTCTTTCTTTTGCTGTTTTTTATCTGGCCTAACGCTACAGCAACCTTGAAAAGGAGATTCAGAAT